AGCACAGGTCACTGCCCCCACCCCTCTTCCGGGGAGCCTGTGCAGCCCGCCACTGCCAGGTTCCCGGGATCCAGGGACAATTTCTCAGGGAGAACACACGGCGGGCCTCAGGCTGGGGCAACGTCACGCCGACTTCTGCCGCCGCAGGACCGCTCCGCACTCCGTGCCCCTCCCTGCCCCCGGCCTGAGAGCGCCAGAGCCCCCGAGTCAGCGGCTCCTTTAACGCCGTCCTGTCTGAGCAAAAAGCAGACGCCCTCCAGCGACCTACACGCAGAGGCAGGGCCAAGTCGAAAGCTGAGCCCCTGTGAGCTGTGAGAACAAAGAAGAAAAAGGGAAATCTCTCCCAGCAGCCTCAGAAACAGCGGATTAAAGCTACACAATCAATTTGATGTACCCTGCCTCTGTGGAATACATGAATAGACAGCGAATCATCCCAAATTGAGGAGGCGGACTTCTAGAGCAAGATCTATGATTTTTTCCCCTTTTCCTCTTTTTGTGAATGTGTATGTGTATGCTTCTGTGTGAGATCTTGTCTGTATAGGTTTGCTTCCACCATTTGTCCCAGCGTTCTATCCGACCATTTTTTTTTTTAATTTTTTTCTTAATAATTAATTTTAATTTAAAGAACTCTGTTATACTTTACCTTCTTTCTATCTTTCCTTCCTTCCTTCCCTTTTTGAGACAACGAATCGTCCCAAATTGAGGAGGTGGACTTGGAGAGCAAGTTTTATGATTTTTTCCACTTTACCTCTTTTTGTGAGGGTATATGTGTATGCTTCTATGTAAGATTTTGTCTCTATAACTTTGCTTCCACCATTTGTCCTAAGGTTCTATCCTTCCCTTTTTTTTTTCCTCTAAATAATTATTTTTTTAATTCAATAACTTTATTATACTTTATTTTATTTTACTGTATCTTCTTTCTTTCTGTATTTTTTCCTTCCTTCCCTCATTCCTTCCTTCCTTCCCTCCTCCCTCCCTCCCTCCTTTCTTTCCTTCTTGCCTTCTTCCTTTCTTTTCTTCTTTCTTTCTTTCTTCCTTCCCTCCTTCCTTCCTTCCCTCCTCTCTTTCTTTCTTTCTTTCTTTCTTTCCTATTTCCTCCTACTTATACTAATTCTCTCTACTTTCTCTCCCTTTTATTCTGAGCCGAGTGGATGAAAGGCTCTTGCTGCTCCAGCCAGGAGTCAGGACTCTGCCTCTGAGGTGGGAGAGCCAACTTCAGAACACTCGTCAAGAAGAGACCTCCCAGCCCCACATAATATCAAACGGCGAAAATCTCCCAGAGATCTCCATCTCAACACCAGCACCCAGCTTCGCTCAACGACCAGCAAGCTACAGTGCTGGACAACCTATGCCAACCATATAGCAAAACAGGAACACAACCCCACCCACTAGCAGAGAGGCTGCCTAAAATCATAATAAGTCCACAGACACCCCAAAACACACCACCAGACGTGGACCTGCCCACTAGAGAGACAAGATCTAGCCTCATACACCACAACACAGCCACTAGTCCCCTCCACCAGGAAGCCTACACAACGCACTGAACCAACCTTAGCCACTGGAGACAGACATCAAAAACAACGGGAGCTACGAACTTGCAGCCTGCAAAAAGGTGAACCCAATCACAGTAAGATAAGCAAAATGAGAAGACAGAAAAACACACAGCAGATGAAGGAGCAGGATAAAAACCCACCAGACCTAACAAATGAAGAGGAAATAGGCAGTCTACCTGAAAAAGAGTTCAGAATAATGATAGTAAAGATGATCCAAAATCTTGGAAATAGAATGGACAAAATGCAAGAAGCAGT